CTCCGCCAGAGGAGAAGACCCTACATGGCGCTTTCGACGAGACGCCAAGGGATGCTTCGCGATTCCTAGAATCCGACGACGATGCTTCGAGCCTCTCGCTGCTAATCGCGCCACAGTGTTCGAAAATGGCGATTTAAACGCGGAAAAGTCCAATTTAAGTCCAATCTCTAATCATTTTAATTTAAGTGTCATTAAGTTTGTAAATCCTTCATTATTTATCCCTAGAAATTGTTTAAATAGGTTAATTTTTACTCAGAAACTCGACGTTTATCCTTTTAGGAAATAATGATATTACAACGATTTCATTTTGTACTTGACGAATCTTGCACAGGAAGGAACGCACTTTATTTTAGAATAAAAATAATTGGTCAAAATTGATTATAATTTGAAATACAGGTAATCAAAAAGAACCAACTTTAGATTGTACGTATTGGTCAAAATTCTGACATCAGCTGCTACTTTTTTAATAATATAACTTTAAAGTTAACGAATCTTATTCTTATTATTCCTATTTTCTATTATTTTCTTCATTATTTACATACTCATTATACAGGATGTTCGGCTACCTCTGGGGAAAATTAAAATGGAAGATTCTAGAGGCCAAAATAAGACGAAAATCAAAAATATCAATTTGTTGATTGAGGCTTCGTTAAAAAGTTATTAACAAAATTAAATTAAAAAATTTCAAATCATTCACGGAAAAATTATTTTCGGTTGCGGGGGTGAATTGCAATCATTTTTGGTGAATTGACATGCCCCCGAAATCCTACGTACTTTCGAGAAAAAAATTCTTTACCGAAAATATACTGCGTGGCCGGAAATGTTTCTAACTTATACTTAACTAATAACTTTTGAACGAAGCCTCAATCAACAAATTAGTCTTATTTTGGCCTCTAGAATTTCTCATTCAAATTTTTCCCAGGGGTGGCCGAACACCCTGTATAATTTAAAACGTTATACAGCAGTGAAACTTTTATAGTAAATACATTTCATTTTTCTCTTTAATTAAATAATTTAATTTTCATTTAACATAAAATAATATAAGGATTGTTAAGCAAAATTACTGTTAACAGTGTTAATAATCGTTTATAAACTTGTTTTTAAGGATTCATGCACTTTTAAGGTGAAATATAATGTTTCGCGTCTAAATCGCCGTTTTCGAATACCGGCATCGCTCAGATATCGCACGATCTTTTCGACAACCGTCTTTTTCTTGTCGAAATTCAATCGACTTAGTCTTTTATGGAAATTATCGCAAATTTTATTTTTGCATAAGAAACAAATATACTGATTATCTCTGTGGCCTGACGAGATTAATAAACCGAATACTTACGATGTATTTATCGATCTTATACTTCGTTCAAAAGGCAGCATTTGTCTTCATTCGTCGACTGACATGCTCCATCAGTCGAGCGTTTTTTTATATTTCTTGTAAATTCTCGTTGAACAAGATATAGAGAAGAGCAAGTTCCATCTTACGAAACGTGATATATTAAAAGCTACAATTATGCGAGGGAAAAGTAAATTAGCGATGTACCCTTTCTGTTATTGTTCCATGAAACGTTGTTTTTAAAGGCACTACAAAGCAGCGTGTTTGAAAGTACCGTGACACGTTCGAGTTAATTGACGCGGAAATAGCTACCATTAAGTTAATTTTGTAAGTCGATCGCGTTTTGAAAAATGAATGACCGGTATGCCGATGTTTATAATCGCTCGAAAGAACGACCTAACGAGTTTATTTGTTTCTTCGTAACAATCGCAAAGTTTCCTGGCAATTTCGTCGAGCAACACACACCGCTGATAAGATAACCGATCCGCGGCTGCCGGAAATTGCGCTCCCGCTGATAACTCCGAGATCGTTCTTCCGTGAATTCTTACGACTTTGAACTTAACCCTTTCGCGACGGGTTTCAAGATATCCCCGAGAATTCTGGGTATTTCACGAGTCGCGAACTCAACTCGAAGATCAAGTTCAGCGCAGCGAGATAACGAACAGTTTACTTTACTCGACTTTGTTCGCAATTTTTAGCAGCCTCTGATATATCTTATTTCAAAATTATTAACCAGCACCAAAGAATAATCAGTAGACGGAAAAATGCAAAATTTGAAACACGTACGTTGAGCATGTTTCACCCTTTACACTCGACTTCAGCAAAGAATTTGGGTGTATCCTCTAAGGAAATTCAACGATATTATTGTTTTAAATTGATTATGCAGGACAAAGCACATAAGCAAAGAATGTAAAAAAAGCATTTCGTTGATCGAAGAAAAGTCTCTCAGTGCATATGGTTGAAATATATGTAACTATATAAAATTAATATATTCTACGTGTATATTTTGCGTACATTTATTGACGCTAGTAATAAGTATATAAATTGCTCAATATTATCGTGTCTGGGAAGCGGGTATAAGTACTCCCGTTATTAAAAATGCTCGTCGAGACTTTAATGGCGACCGGACCGCCAAAATAATTGAATGACTTCCAGAAACCGTGGTTGTCCGAGGAACGATTCAGACGTCCACCTTGATTAATCATCGGGAAACGAGAAACGGTGTCCACGTTTATAAACCGGCAGCGGGAAACGAACATTAATCCCATTAGTGGTCGCGACAAAGAGCGGCGTTCGCCATTACCTCGGCATTATATCATGACGAATTCGTTCCGCGGGATCGGCGCTGTCACCGAATCACAGGCCGCACGGGGGTACCAGTTAACGAAGAGGCATCAGCCAGCCGGAAGATAATGTATTCCCCGTGAAAAAGCCACTGATTGCCGTCCCCATTGTGCGCCAAGTGTTGCACTTTCTGGCACACGGGACGCGGAACATATGCAAACGACACAACACGGCTGGTCCATCATTCTCGATACGTCAGCAGTTGGATCGAAACCCCGCTACCGAGTGATTTTTCAACCACTGACGTACGACAACTAGGGGGAACTGTCGATGAACGGATTGATTGAAAATCCCGTGGCGATAAACGTTGGGAAATTTCATTTCGAGCCTATAGAAACGAGCAAAATTGTAGGCTTCGTTTAAATAGAATAAAGTATCACTCTACTTCAACCGTCTTCGGGAGAAATTTCAATCTCGAGTATAGGATAGAGCTGATTACTTAAATTTTAGTGGCGATAAACATTGCGAAATTTCATTTCGAGCCTATAGAGCAAAATTGTGGGCTTCGTTCAAATAGAATAAAGTGTTACTCTACTTAGATCCTTTTTGGGAGAAATTTCAATCTCGAGTATAGAATAAAGCTGATTATTTAAACTTTACTGGTTTTAGTAGTTTGTTGTTCGACGCGTTAAAGAATTCGCTGACGTCGAAATAAATATCATAAAATAATTCGAAGACAGTAGCCCGGACAGAGCAATTTCGCTGGGGGAAGAAAACGATCAGCGGGGACCCTCATAATTAGAAGAGCCCGAGCCAGATTCGGCGAGATAAGCCTGCTGGAAACTACGGGGTCTAAGTGGGTGCCTATTCGCTACCGTCAGCTCCGAAAGACTCCTAATTGTCAAGATTGAGAACCGTAATTACACGCTTCGACATTCGCTCTTCCTACTCGAGACACCTCCGAGTCCCCGGGAATCGTTTTTATGGCGAAAGGGTTTTGAAAATACGTTCCAACCCACTCAATTTTAAAGGCCATGTTGATAGGGGATGCAGACAAAAATGTTCGAAATAAATTAACGTCGATTTTATTTTGTAAAAAATTTACTTTACTGGCGAAAATTAATCCTACCGTGGCAAGTAAAGTTTGAATCATATCAAAACAATTGGTCGCCGATATTTTTGTCGAATTATCAACGTCACTGAGATCGCCAATGGGAGGTTGGTCTATCGAAAAATGACCTCGTGCCGATTAAACGGTAGCCGAATGGTGCTTCCATTCGCGTTATATAATTCAATACGATCGTAAAGCAGAATTCGAGATATCTTATCGACGATCGTGTTTGTTTTCCGTACGTCAACTATGAATAGTCGACGGAGTATCGAGTACGGATTCCAACAGCGGAGAATAACGCCTACTTCGGTACACATGCGTTTCATAACTTTACGCATGTTGCCACCGCGCATTCCGTTGGATCGAGTTTGATACGATTTTGTCAACTGTCAACGCGTGTCACTCGAGAGTATTAATTTACAAATTTTCGCGTTGCATTTAGACGCATAGAAATCCCGCGAGTTTCCCGAAGATCGATCAAATACGTACGTTTTACGCGGAATAAATATTCTTTCAAACCGACGTACACCTTTGGACGCGGTTCGAGCCGACGAGAGGATTGCACGTTTCGAGCTGGCAATAAATGTCACTTAGTGGGAGGAAAATGTTGCTTACACCTGGAAAATTGTGAAGCGAGGCCCGTAATTTACGACGATTGCAACTGTCACTTCGTTGGTTCGCCGGCTATCGCGTGTAACTAATATCACAGTCAATGAAAACCATTGTTCTCAATGAAACGTAGGAATGAATGGCAACGCGTAACTGAGACCTTATTCGACGCGAATACTTTGAGAGTCCAGTAACCGCGTCGAAAAAACAGCGGAAAAGATTAGAGAAGCCACTTGGAAAGTTTTAGAAACGTCACGCTGCGAAATGCCGCGGGATTTCTTAACCCTTTAACCTGAGGATCACGGGTTAAATCGTTATGGAAATTAACTTATGGAATTTAAATTCCATATCTGTTGTTTGTTTCCTCTCAATAAGTAAAAGGGCACGCTGTTTACCGTTCGTGTTTACGTTCGAGTCAGAGGTTCGACACATTCGACGTTCTGGCGATCACTACGTTTCTACGTTTTCTTTATTAGGAAAATTGGGTATGGTTTGGTTGTCAATCTTTGAACTGAACATGGTTACTCCAATGACAATTATGACACTGTTTTTGAGAAGCAAAATCTCCGATAAATTGACACGAGGAGTCATCGCGAGGGAGTAGGAGTACGTCATCGTTTGGCGTTATGAAGGGATGTCATATGTAAAGTTGATGGACGTACTCACCAGTATAGCACCAGGCCGGCCAGACAACAGGGCTTTCGGTGTCCAGCTCCCTCATTCTCTCAGCGACCCGCGGACATCTCCACTCCGTACGTCCCGACGTGGCGGTAAGTATGTCCAGTTTGATCTCTGATATGAACTTCCGTCGTGAGAAACGACTGCCCGATGGACGTTTGGAAGCGGCAGGTCTGGCTCGCGGAGGCTCGTCGCTTCCGTCAGCGTGCAACCGACCACCTGTTGGACGTCAGATCAGTTTCGCGCGCGAACGCAGTGGAAGTCCGTCGAGGATCATGCCTCCGGGTCGTCGGTACCGACGTCGTCGACGGCGGGAACGTGCTGGCCCCGGAGTGCAGAGGTCGTCGAGCCCCCTTTTATCGCGTAGGTGCACGTGCACGGGCCGATTCCGAGAGACAGATAACGCGAGATAAGCCGTGTACGGCGGTGATAAGGCACGGGAGAACCGTCATCGACACGATTCCCTGCCCTTGTGACTTTCTCCGGCCTCCGTGGCGGCCGGCGGGGACGATCTCTCACGCGTGTTACACGAAAAGGTGTTTCGCACTCGCCTCGAATCGCGCACTAAATGTCACGGAAATGTCAATGAGGAGTCGCGGACGTTTGACACCTTCACTGTCCCCTTCCTCCGCGGTTCCCTGGGGCCGCCAGTGGTTAACCAGTCCTTCCTCCTTCTCGCGACGACGAACTTCGTGCACTCAACAATTCGGCGATATCACACTGACACTCGCGAAAAATCAACGATCGTGGCAGCGTTCCGGAGGGGGGGGGACAGCCGGATAAACACTTGACGGAGATCTCGTTCTTGGGAACGACACCCCACGGAGAGTCGTTTTCGATTGTTTACACGCCGCGAGCGACGGGTCGCGTCTGCAACGAGGCCCGGATACGCCTTGTCCACGCAGAAGACCGGGTCACCAGGCAACGACCCGGTAGCGAACGGATTTCAGAGAGGATACGCGATCGATCGTTGCCTCCACGTTCGGGTGGATCGTTGACGTAGCGCAGGATGACACGACACTACAACACGGCACTGCTGCGTGAGGCGTCGTCCAAGGGGACAGACGGAGACAGAGGGAGAAGGACGAAGCCGGGTAGGGGGTTGAGAAGACGAGACAGAGAAAGGGGGGCAGAAGAGGGAGGAGGAAAAAAGAAGGGAAAAGTGAGAGAGAAAGAAAAAGAGAGATAGAGAGAGAGAAAGAGAGAGAGAGAAAGAGAAAGAAAGAAAGAGAGAGAGAGAGGGAAGAACCTGACCACCGGACACACTGGCTTCGGTAGGCACGACACACAGGTAAGCGGAGTGGCACTTAGGTTGGTGCACCTGCCGCGAGAGTCCGCGTCGTAATGGGAGCGGGGCAACGGGCGGCAGGTAGGCAGGCCTACCGCTCGTCAACCTGCGGGAGAAGGGGAATCAGTCACATGGCGAGGTGCCCCGCGTTGCCTGCGAACAAGGAGGTGGTAGCTCAACCAACTGCTGGTGGACAAAGGTCCCCGGTGGTGGTGGCGGTCGGCACGGAGGTGGTGGTGGACGACGTGGTAGGATGCAGGACCAAGGAGTAGGAACCGAAGAGGACCTCGAACGGAACGGACGCGGTGTCGGAGTAACCTGTCGCGGGAGTTCTTTGTGGGTGATTCTTCCCAATGGGCCACAAAGATAATATTTTCTTTCGGTAACCGACGTGGAAGCTGCGCTCTCCAACCCATCCATCGCGAACTGGAGTATCTCGCCTCTCCTACGCCCCGGGGTTGTTCGAACGGGAAGACGTGCGATCGAAAATTTAGCTCCTTCGTGACTATGTGCATGCATTCAGTGGACCGGAATTTCTAACGGAATTATTTTGATAATATTGGCGAAGAAATGGATGAGTAGACTGCGGATGTTAAGCATTTATGGGGAATTTTTAATAGGCAAAAATATAGGCAATACTTGGAGTAAGATTCGAATTATTATATTTAGGAATTGAGACAAACCTGTACAAACTACAGAATGCAATTGAGGTGCAAGAATATAAGAAATACTTATTATATTTGGGGGTTGAGACAACCCTCTACGAAACTCCCCTTTTAATTAATTCTATTAATAAAAATGTGAATTTGCTTAACTCTTAAGTGGACTCTCAATCTCAATTATTTTACTTAATGTCGATTCTTATCAAATTAATAAATGGAAATAAACTTTCCTTTAAAGTATTTAAAAAATAATGAACTAATGGAGGATTATATTGACATATATCAAACAATTATTAGTTTAAACTTGCCGCAGCGGCCCCAATAATCCACTTGAGAGCTAACGATCCGCAGTCTATTGATGAGTAATAGAGAGCAGAGCAAATTCACCCCCTTGCAAATCAAGATTTTCTCCTCAAGCCTTTCTACTCTATCTTAAAAATACAAAAATAATCGCGCCTTGTAAATTTCATATTCCCACCCAAACATCTTTGAAATATTTATCACGAAATATTAAAAAATGACGTACCTAAACACTAAATCCATTTCTCAAGTGGAGTACGCGTCTATTTTCCATCTTTAGAAGTCTATTTTTTCCTGTACCAAAAGAATTATTTCCAACACCACTAAATATTATAACATTTTATTTACAACGTCGAAGAGTCGGTCGCTTAAGAATAGACCTAGAAATATTTCCCTTCCGAGTTTACAGCTCGTTAGAGTCGCGCATCGAAAGAACTGGTTGAAGTGGAATCCTTGACAAACGGTGGCAAGTATCACGATGCTGTTTTATTGATTGTCGGGCATTCCTTACGTATTTCGAATCTTGTGACAACTGGCTACAATGTGGTCACGGAGATCTAGTAGATTAGTAACTGGTTTTTATCGAACAATCTGCTCGAAGTGTTGTCAAATGAAGAAATCTGAAGGATTGAAGCCCGATAAACGTATGAACGGTTCGTGCAATTAGTACTCTTTCGCCGACGTAACGAGCTGGATCATTATTTTTAAAGAAGTTTCGACGTAATTAGCTTTATATTTTTTTGAACCCGATATGTATAGAGCCACTTAACTCTACCAGCTGAAGTTACTTGAAAGTTTCTGTATTCAAAAATACTTCACCTTGAGTTTCTTAATTGTGATGAGTAAGATTTACTGTTGATGTACGCTATATAGTTTACAAGTAAATTCAGATGGGATAATAAATTTCGTTTGATATCGTTTGGAGCATTCTATGAAGATTGAAAACGAAATTGCCCAACGAAAGCGTCCATCGACGATTGCTTTGAACATTCTCTATTACTTTTATTAAAACGTCGGCAACGTAAGTAAATATACAACTTTGTAAAAATTCTTTCCTGCCACGGAAACATAATAGGTGATCATGTATATAGTTTCCAATAAGAAATTAGAAAGTCTGTTAAAATTAGAAATCTCTCCGCTTCAATAATAATTGAATAAAATATGAACTACGCATTCGAATTAAACTGATATGATTTATTGCCCCTATGCATGATCAAAGTTACGAACGTTTCATACGCGTAATTACTGCCTTATAAATAAAATATAACGCGTTTACAACGTCGGGTGAATAAAATTGCGTTGTTAAATAAATTCAAACCGTCTCGGGAAGTTTATTAAACGCGAAAGAGAGTGTCGGTGAGCGTCCAACGAAAATAGAGGACGAAGTAGAAAGAATTCTATCTAAGGGAGAAAGTGATTCGTTCGTTTCGATTTTATTGCTGCTCGGGACAAAAGACATACGCGGTACTTTCGTGTTTCCATCGGCGACTATGGCTTCCTACAAAGATCGTCACTGAGTTCCATATTTGGATTCGCCGAAGGTACCCTGAAGAGTATTGAATTCCAGGCGTTTCCACCTATCCACGGTACAGCCTGATGGCAGATTGTCCCCTGACTCGTCGTCCAAGAACGTCGTACGCTGTCTAACTACGTCTTTCTTTACGTCTCTAGCTAAGTGGAGTTGCGTTTCGTCTAGCTGGACAGTATATCGATAAAACAAGACAAGTATGCCTTGTTCCCCCAAACAGGGGATAAGCTTGTACTTTCAGAACGACTCGCATCTTCCAAGATTCGACTATCTCTATCCCCTAAGAAACTATCGAGTACCTTTTGAAATTAAAATTCGACATTCCTTTTGGCTGTAATCACGGGTTAATAAATATTCCAGATGCTATACGCGTTCTTGTTGCTAATAAAACATCGTTCCATTGTTCTGAATATTATCTTATCACAACGTCGCACAATTTTTGGTATTTCATCTGTAAACATACTCTCTGCGTCTCCGGGGTGCGACGATCGTCGTTCGACCCATACCAGCGATCGTGGAACTTTTTCTTTCGAGCGATTATTTATAATCTACCGCTGACTTGTAAATCAATCTACATTATCTTGCTCCGCGCGTTCCGACTCGTTCGAGTTTTTATTATTCTAATTTTACTGACCAGGAAATTCAATTTACAAACCGGGTTGGAACTTTTCTTCGTACTATATTTACGATACTATTAATACGGTATTCTTTCCACTATTTTTTATCGAAGTAATAAATCATTATGTGTTTAGTGGATGTAAATTTTCAAATACAAATAAGTCAACGAGTTTCGAATAATATTCACGACTTATGTTGGGAGTTTTCTTCTCTTCAGCAAATCAACCCGTTGAGCAAAGAATTATTATTACCCTAAAAATAGTTAGCAAAGGTCGCGCAATTTGGCGATTTCGATGATCGTAATTCCATCGAACCCGATGGACGATGATATTCAAAGTTGTGTTCCAGGAATCGTTCCGGTAAAACTTGTTTCGACCGCAAAAAGCAACCCTTCGATTACTGGTTAACGAAACGAGCGTGGTCCAGGGCGGTCCTGGTCACCAGAGGCACCGGGTTCGTCGAGGGTCCGTTGATAGGACCGTAACCCCTAGGATCCCACGACTTAACTCGCGTATGTCGCAACATCGTTATCGGCGTAGAATATCGGTATATGGCAGTGTCCTGGAAGTGTTGCCCTAGGCGTCTCTCCGTGGCGAACGCGACCAGGACGCGGAGCGAAACGAGCTGCAACCGTGCACCACGGTAGGGTACCAAGCACGTGAAGCACGGATGAGAGCTTGTTAGGTTAACCATCACATTGTTTCACGAGGGCGTGGTGGTGTGTTGTTTTGTGCGTCGAGTGGGATCCTCTTGCTCTCCCGTTGCCAGGACTATCTTCTCTCCTCTCCGGTCTGAAGATCGAGCCGTACCATCGAGAGCGATATATCGCGGCCGATATATATCACTCGGTGAGCACTCGACTTCCATACGTCCGTTCGAGCGTACATATGTACGCGTACATCGCCCGGGGGCTGGCTTCAAGGTCCTCGTTTAGATATCCGTTCGCTCGGAGATTATTCGAGGCAACGACGTCGCCTCGTTGGTACGTCCAACGATGGCCGGGGCGTTACATCGGCGTCCTATCTGGCCTGATCGGTCAGCTTCCGGAGCTAACGATTACCACCTCGGCCATTTTCTTTCGCGGCCCTGGCCGGACGATTAAACGGTCCATCGACCCCGTCCCCGCTGTCTCGACGCGGACGATGTGGTAATCGCCGTGCCCCGTCGATGCGAAAGATTACCTTCAATCGGACGTACCGCCACGCAGACCGATCGATTAGCTATGATAATGTTTCTCGAAACGACTACTTTCTTTATCCAGCCGAGTAGATAACGAATTAGCGTCCAAACATAGGGGAAAGAGTCGATTTTCCAAAATGTGTGAAAATAGAATTCAAATAGAGTGGAAGATAGTGGTGGAAATCAACGAGAGTGTCAGCGCTTGAAATATAAATAGACTTTAAAGTCACTCGATTAGCTATGATAATCGTCTATGTACAGTGGTCAATGTTTCTGGAAATGACTACTTTTTTTATCCATTGCATACGTAGAGAGCATTCTAACACGGGGGAAGAGACGTCAAAAAGATGACTTTCCAAAATGGTTAAAACTAAAATTAAAATAGCGTGAAAGATAATGGTGGAAGCCATCGAGAATGTCAGTGCTTAAAATATAAATAGACTTCGAAGCAACTCGATTAGC